AAAAAAAAACAAAGAAAAATCTGCGAGAGCATTAATCGTGACCGCTTGTTGTTGGCTGGGGTGCAGCCGCGTCCAGCTGGGCAGCGCCGGGTTTTCCCTAGCCTGGGCTGTCGTGACGGGACGCGGGGAAGGAAGTCAAACCTGAGCACGTAAGCTCCGTAGTGTTTATTTGCCCCGTGTTCCGCGCTGCCGCCTCCTGCAGCGACAGTCGGAGCTGTCTGAGCGGCTTGGAACATGACGGCAGTCCGCAGCGGTCGGTGAAAGAAGACTTTAGGGCTGTAGGGACACTGACACCTTACTACAGTAAAGTTAAAAATAGCTGCTTTTATTCAGTGTGTGAGAGAATGTCTATTAATGGAACTGTTAATGCAAATTTTTTTTTCCAAGTTTGGTGATTGAGAGAACCTAAAAGGGATACTTTATTCCAAACTTAGGCTGCTGTGTGGGTATAGGAGTTTCGTGCCAGGGCGTGCATCTGTCGGCACTTTTTCCAATTGCGTTGCTGAAACATTGGACTGATAAAAAGGGTTTAATGTAATAATTAGGGAAATACTGCCATTGCTCTTAGGGCTTCTAAATGTTCCAGTTAAAAGTTGTTTAAAGAAACTTCCTCTTGTATTTGAATCCTTATACTGCATTAGTTGGATAAATATTCCTATGCGGAGTGTTAAGGTCAATTACATACACCTGTGTTTGTTGGTGACACATCGTCTTTGTTTGCAGGGTGCTTATTTAAGACTGAAGTGAAAAACAAATGAAGAAACTTGAAAATAATGTCAGGTTTTCACTGCAGCAAAGAGATATTTATAGTACTGATAGCTGGTTTTAAAAAATCTTGTGGTGGTTTTTTTCCAGTGCAAACTCTAAACTTATTGTTTTCAACATGCAAGTTGAGCTTAAGGTAGAACACTGATGGTTTGCAAAATGGATCCTATTGTAGAGGCAAAAGTTTTGTTTCTCATCCAGACTTTCTGCTGATGCGTAATGCATACAAGATCAAACAGCTGTCAGTTGTGCCAGAATCAGTTTTAAATTTGAAAAACTGCAAATCTACATATTTCTATCACAGAATCCATTCAGTAAGCACAAACATAAAGTAACACTGTGTATGATATTCTTAAAGCATGAGTAGATTACTTTCCAAATGCTGTCGTCGTTTGGCTGCTTTTTTGTATATCATGTCACGAAAAATCAACTAATTTGACTTATAGTTCGTGATCAGCAGCATCTTCATGTTCTTATGATGTAGTCAAGTGTTTCTTCCCGTATATTGTGAACCTCATTGTGGAATGTTTGACGTAAGAAACATGTTCCATTGTAGTGTTATTTTTCCTTGAGATGAAAACTCTTGTGTTATGTAATTTTTGTAAAATTAAAATGAAGGGAAGCAAATAAAAATTCACTTTTAAGCATAAACAAAGTAAGTAGGAAATGTGAAACTTTAGAGTGTAGAGTATTTTTATTGTCTTGTCCTGAAAGGAGCTAAAACTAGTCCACAATCACAGTTCTTTTAAGCAATTTCTGGAAATCTGTTCTAGATGACTCAAGTTTTTAAAACAAGAGATTAAAAGGTACCTAGTGTTTCTTGTCACACAATGTAGAATTTGTTGTTGTCGTTGTTTTAATGTAGGTAAAAGGATACATGTTCTCTTCAAGCAGAAAGGAGCATGTTCCCAAATTCTTCCAACTTGGTTCGTCCACCTTTCCCTCCGAAACGTCAACGACAGAGCATTTTCTTCAATAAGCTTCCTGTAAATACACTGCCGGCTCTTGCCTCTCACCAGCAAATTATTGATGCTCAGTTTAATATTCAGAATACAGCGTAAGTACAGTAGAAGTTTATAGTGGGGATTGGGTTGAAAAAGAGTTAACGGTCTTTTGAAGGAAGTATTTCTGTTTGTGGAGGATATTTTTCACTGTTGTGTACAGTAAACTGCATTAAAACTTAAAAAATAGGGAAATGTCCTATGTAAAACAAAGCTGTATCATTTCTGTTGGTGACCTGCAAGTTTTAATGCTCTCCTGTGTTGTGCGTAGTGCATGAGATGCCATTGCATAATTAGTAATTCACAGTTCGGTTTTAGAGATCTTCAGTAGTGTTTGTTTACTAGGGAAAACAGGGAGGAGATGAGAAAGAAACATTTATTCTTGAAGCTAGATTTGAAGACACCATAGTATTCTTCAGGGTCTTAAATTTAACCGTACCTGAAGTTAGTTTGTTTGCTGTCCTCTTCTTACATGTGTACCAGAATGACCGTCTTCTACTTTTTAATGAAAAATACACTATATACTGAAATACCTCTTCGTTTTGGATAGAGAAGACAGATGTATTGCTTCTAAGAAAAAAATGACAGGACTCGCTGAGTTTTGTATTCACTTAAGAAGCAGCATCTTCGTTGTCATATGAATAACAGTTATGGATTGTAGTCTTTCCAGGGGTCTTTCAAGTGGGAGCCTTCCAGCTACTCCAGATGTTACACCGCAGCCAAAGATTTATGGAAATGGCAGTCCAGTACATACATCTGATGCCTCCACATCATTCCGAAGAAGAAAGTAAGTTCTCTGTGTGAGCATGATTAATTCTGATTGTAGTGTACCTGTGGTGAAGCTTGCCTAATACAGATTTCTTGTGCAGCTTGAATTTTGTTGGAATTTGCAAGAGTACTGAATAAAATTAAACAGGCCATGTGATGGCTCTTTAAAGCGTTCATATACCTCCCTTTTGAGAATTTTGAGAATCTGTGACTTACTACTTGTTTTATTGTAATACTATAATAGATTATAGTCTGTGTGTGCTTGGCAGTAAGAGAGTTTGTGTCAATAAATCAAGTGTTCTCTTCCTCTTAATTTGTCGAGTTAAGAGTAAGACCCCACCCTCAATGTTTTGTGGGAATTGTAATGTTTTTCTGACGACACACTAGATGTTTCTGCTGGTTTTCTTCATTATATGATGCTTTATTTTTCAAATAAAAAAGAAGACTTTACATGTGCTTGAATTCTGGTTTTGTAAGAGGAATTATATGGAAACACAGTTTTTCTGCTTTTCAAAAAACTAAACTTACTGGAATTTGTATCACTGCCTTTATTACGTTAGCTGCCACAGAAAGAGGAATTTCAGATGAATATGTGGTTTTATTTTCTTTTGACATTCTAGAAAAAAATCACCAGTTCAGAAGTATTAGTTGATATATGTTTGTAATAATTCTGTGAATCAGCTGATAGTTCTGAAGACAAAAGCTTCCTCCCTATTTCCTGTATTCTATTTCTCTTCCAGATTTAACAGATGAGGAAAATAAGTACAATTAAATGTGGTATTAAGTTATAGTTAAGTATATAACTGTCACATGAACTAAATAAGTTCCTAGTTTCATGCTGCATGCATCCTTTCCTCTTGACTAGTCTGGTTTATGGAAAGCTCTGCTTTGTGTTAGGAGATTTGCAGTCAATTAGATAATCCCTACTTTGATGCCAGCTTTTCTGACAAGAAATGACTGTAGTTTTATTAATAGTTAATACATTGATACATATGAACACTTGATTTCATGCTTTTTAATTTAAAAATATGTGAGTACCTCCATACCAGTTAACTTTATGCAATACTTGATGTGTAGACAAAACATCAATGTCCTCTCTTATTCTTTACTGTGGATGGACCACAGTATTCAACCACTGGTCAGCTTTCAGTACAACTTTTTTTAGTGAAGAGTTCAGATGCCAAGGGGCTGCCTGTAAGATCACTATATCTCTTTAAATATATTTGAATTCCTGTGACAAATGGCTTAATGAGGAGATACAGAGCAGTGTTTCAAAATGAGACATTAGGTTTATGAACTGTGTAGCTTAATATAATCGTTAGTTTGAGTTGTCAAATGAATAGTATTTCTTTTTTGCCCAGATTACCGTTTACTGTCTGTACAGTCTAAGAGACAGACGAATGCTACATTTTGAATGGCTATTGTGATACGTTTATTTTTCTCCACTACCAATTTTTTTTTCTTCATCAGTGAGTATTCAGAACTCCTAAAACTTCTTGCTGCACTTACATTGATTTAAGAGAAAAGTACCCTTACATAGTCTGTGGGTATCTTTTTTTAAAAAAAAGAAGTGTGACGTCACCAAAATAGTATGACCAGCTTTCTGAGTTGTCCTGCTTAACTGAACTTGCCGTTTAGGTTTCAGCTGGTTGATACAGACACTCTTGTAATGCAGTTGCATCAGTTCACTTCAAGGGTAGCTGCACTTCTGCGGTTGTGTATTGTTTTTTCCAGGTTTATTTCATCTAATATCTGAGATGGGCACGCCTTTTGTTCTGTAGAGTACTTGCTTTTAGTGAAATAATCATGTAATTAAGCATATGTTTTTGTACTTGTGCCAGCTGTCTTTTAGTCACAGGTTAGAGCTTGCAAACTAGAAGAATTACTGTCTCTCTTGGGTTTTTTTTGGGTTTTTTTAATTTTTAGGCGAGTAAGTGAACAAAGTGTTACACGTGATGTCAAACGTCAGCGGATTCATTCACATCATTCTGAAACAACTGCAGTTAACCAAGCAGTGCCTTTAGCAGAGGAACGTAGATACTCCTTCCCAAGATCAATTCACTCTCCACTGTTGGATGCACATTATGTACCAGATTTACTTGGATGTGTCCCTCCATTGCGAGACACTTTGTTTCCAGACCCCATAGAAACCACACCCCCTGTGGCCAAAGATAAGGTAATACCTTTCCATGCCTGTGCTTTACATCTGCCTTCCGAGTAGGCAGGGTCCAATGATGCTGTGGGAGGCCACAAAAATTTCTGCAAGGTTCCTTCATGGTGTTGTGGGGTCTCTGTCGCCGAGGTGTCCTGTAGAAGGAATATCAGTAAATGTAGCTGCTGCTATGGGCCTGTATAGCTTCCTTGTTGTGTGTTTGGAGTGGTTTGGGGGAGTAGGGGTGGTGTTTGCTTGTGTTTGGTTTCCATACTGAAGTCAGGAAACCTGTATGTCTGCTCCAGGAAGTAGAAATTGGAGGGATGGTCCATTTGTCACCTGATTGGGAGGCAGAGAGAATCATCATGGGGGGAAAAAAAAAAAGAAAACCCACCCGAGTAAAGTGAGAGAAGCCTGTTCTGAATAAATACAGTACTGGACCTGTAAAGATGTCCTCTGCCTCTTTTCAGAAGGAGGTAAAAGTTATTGTCCTAGCTGTTTTGGAATATAGAAGAGGATGTCTTCTTTAAGTGGACAGTGGAGTTGGAACTGTGTTTTTTGTTGTTCTTTAATGGAAAAAAAGAAAAAACATGTGGCCAGTCAGTCTTCATGCTTTACTTGCACCAACATGACAGAAGACTTTTTTTTTTAGTATAAATATGCTGGTTGATTATAGCATGTATACAGTATTGTGAAAGAGAAACAGTTAATACCTCTTTCCACCAAAGACCTTTCTTTTTTTTTCCCCACACAAACTATTAAAGAAGTATTCAGATAACTTAAATGGGTTTTGATATTTGTTTTTCTTCCTATTACTGGTAGGCAAACTGTTGACGTCTACGGAAGATATCTCTACTCTTTCACTGCTTATTCCCTGAAAGGCTTGCAGATACTGATGAGGCAAAAGTTATTTTCTGTGGGTAGTCATTTTATAACAGGTAAAACAAATTTAAATTTAAAAACTTTGCAGAAATTTCTTCTGGGGAGTTGTTCAGTATGAATTCAAGCGTGGTAAAATTCTAGACAGTGGAATAGGTCATGTGAAAGGATGCTGGATTTTTTTTTTTTTAATGCAGTCTTATGTGTTTCATGTAATTGCATCTCTGAGAGGAAAAAATGTTCACTTCTCTGTATCTTTTGTGTTTTGAATGTGTGTGTCAAGTTAAGTCAGCAGGTTCTGGAGTTGTTTCAAGCATGTCAGCAACAGACCTGTGATTTGAACAGAAAAGAGCTCTGCAGAACAGAACTCCAGAGAGAAATTCAGCGAATTTTCCCACGTATGTTTTGAATTTGATTACTTAATATCAGTTTGAGTGTTATTCACATTCGCAGTTCTTCCTTCCTCTTAAACCATAATATGTCACATGAGTTTTTATTATGTGATTCTTCTGTTACAGAGAGCAGACTCTTTTTGGTTGGATCCTCACTGAATGGATTTGGGACTCGTAGCAGTGATGGTGACTTGTGCCTGGTGGTCAAAGAAGAGCCAGTAAGTAATTTAAAACATAATGTAGTTAAAAAAGAGTCTGTTAAAACAGTTCTTAAAATGTATGTGCTTTTGTAAGGCTGGATTCTAAAATGAGGAACTAATAGTCAAATCCTTTTGATTTAATAACATATTTTGCACTCACAATAGCTGTGAACTGTGGGCCTGATAATGTTGCAAGTATGAAATTAACCCTATAAACCATTTAACCCAGCAAAACATTCAAAAAAGGAGTGTTACCTTTACTCCATAACTGAAAAAAGCACAGCAAAACAGGGAAGTGCATTGCCTGGAATAATGAAGATAATTGTTTAGAGAACTTGAACTCATTTTAGATGCAGGAACAACTTTTAATAAGTACAGTCCTTTGTAATTTCATTATTTAGATTCATAGCCACTGATTTTAGAAAGCAGCCATAAGAAGGAATTTGATATGCAAGAGATCTGAAGTACTTCTGGTGAGAGAAAATGTTTGTGAGTAGGAGTTAGGTCGAGAGAAAAGATGTAGCAAAAAAGAAATCTAAATAAAGAATGATTCTGAAAGAGTTGAGGCATTAAAAAGCAACAAAAGGACATTGTTGTGTAAGTGGGGCTAGGTTTTCATTTTTTCTGATTTGTTAAAGTCTGTTAGTTACTCTGCATATTGAATATAAATTGTTCTGTCTGGCTTTTGCCATGCTAAATGTGTATGTAGGCTGTGGAATGTGCTGGTGTACATGTTCATGTCTTACTCTGAGAATGAATTTTGTTGGAGAAGTAAAGCATGCTTATTTGGAACATCTAAATGAGACATACCAACTTTTTTTCTTATATTTTAATGTCGTATTTCAGGTAAATCAGAAGACTGAAGCAAGGTATATACTCAGCTTAGTCCATAAACTCTTCAGTACTAAACTTTGTAAGTTCCCGGCTACAGTGAGGTGGTAAGATTATTGGCAATTCTGGAAGAAGTGTTGATGCACAGTTGTAACATGTTTATGTATTTGCATCTTGTCTAGCATCTAATCACAGTATTGTTTGGAGAACAGCTGTAGATATTTAGTAATCTTACTTATCTTGGTTCTGATGGGTAGTAATTGGAAAAACATAATGGTTACCTTGAAGACTAGTGGACTTCAAGAACGGGTAGTGTCTAAAATGAGTTTTGGATTGTGGACCACAGTGGGCAGGGGTATGGAAAGTAGATTTCTGTTTGGGAAACCTCTGTTAGAGAACTCTTACTGCTCTTTTAGATTACAGTGCCTTCCTGGGGGCAATACTCTTAAGAATCTGTAAAATAAGATGTTGCTCACAGTAGACTGTGTAGAATAGTTTTTTTCTGGGAGGGGCTTGATACCAGTGAAATACTTAACTTAGGTGCCTAGTGAAGAAAATACATTGACAGTACGAGCACTTAAAGGAGAAACAGGTCAATTCATAGTTCTTAAAAGTTGTTGTTTATAGACTCCCTTCAGATGAAGAATTCACTTGGGCAGTTCTTGACTTAAATGTGAAAGCCTCCTGTTTCAAAGAGGCTTTTGTACCATCCTCTGAATTATAAAAGACTGTCACTTACTGATATCAATGACTGTGTCCCCCTACTTCTCAGACTTGTGATACATTCTTTGATGCTGCTGCCTATGTTGCCGTTCTGAACAAACCTGCAGTGATAAAAGCAAACCATAAATTTAAATGCAGACTTCAAAATTTCTTCACTGGCAAATGTTCATACCCAGTTTTCAGCAGCTCACTTGAAGAGAGACTTGATGATCCATCGCAGAATAGGCATCTGATACTTAATGACTTACTACTGTTGTATATGGATGTTTGCATAAGAAGTTCAGAACTTAGTCTGGGTTTGCCTAGCATGCGGGTTGTTCCAGTGCTTTCTGAGAAGCACAATGGTAAAACAGTTGTGTTGTCAGAGAGCAGAAACAGAGCTTCTAGATAAACCATCACCTTCATTTTTCAAGAGATTGTGTTCTGTGACAGAGCTTTAGATGAAATCAGGTTTGTTTGACAGGGAGCATCAGAAAGACATGATGGCCATGTGGGAGTCATCCCTGAAGGTTATTGTTTGTGCCATTGCTCATTTTTGATGTTTTCCTAGTTCTCTGTTACCTTGCAAATGCCTTTGGTCAGCTTCATTTAATCAAAAAGTTCCTTGGAAGGTTAGGCAGGACAAAACACTACTGATATTACCACTTCTGTCAGACTCTTAGCTGTGGTATGTAGACCTCTTGGATCATCTCTTCGTAGTCTTAACATCACTATGGGCATGAATTCCTATACCTAGCCATTTGTCCTTGTGCCTGTGTGTGGATGTTCTGTGGATAGAACTGATAGACAAAAGTTGCTGGAAAATGTTCACCTGGTTCAAAATGAAAAGGCTTTGCCACATGGGTCTTTCCACTTGGGTTTAGTTCATTTACAAACTGTAGCCCAACTATGCTAAGGTTCAGTACTTCTGAAACAAGGATGTTGCCCAGTTATTTTGATTAAAGCTTATTTTGTCAAATGTAATTGCTGTCATCTGTCTCTTATCCTTTATATACAGTTAACTGTGATTGTTAGATTAGAGTTTCATTCTAGGAGGTTTGGGACGTAGATTCAAAATTTACCTAAGCTCCAGTTTATTTCATTTTCAGGCTTGAGAAAGGTAACAAGTGTGCAAGGAGTTTGAGCCCATCACATTTAAAGTGTTAGAGCAGAGGCTTTTCTGCATTGTCATTCTGCATCTAAAATACTGACTGAAATGAAGATGTGTACTTTTTTGAATAGTCACAGAATGAAGTAGGAAAAAGCTTATGATATTTATTCACTTGTTTTTGTGGGATGTGTTATTCTTAGAAGTATGTATTGTGCTTATCCTAGAGTAGAGAGATGTAAAGATAGCAGTAATATGTTCTGTTTAAGTTTGGCTGAGTAGGTGTAACTTCTCAGCTTGCTTGTTCAGATACCTGTGCATATCTGTTTTTTACAGTGTTGCCTAACTTTCCAAGAACTGTATGCTGAAGCCAGTGTCTTTTAGAAATGTGAAAGGTGAAACATGAATTTGGGATTACAACTGTTACACCATACTGAAGAGTGTATAATCCAAACCACCAAGAGTAAACATCAAACTGATTACTCTCTTCGTATTTGTCTAGACAGGATTCAGTTGAAAAACAGCTTAGCCATGCTGGGTTGACTGGTGTTTACCCTCGGAATAAATAACAAAGAGCTCATTTTCTCTTAGTTATGCGAAGAGGTATAGTAGTGTTGAGACTAGGATATTGGAGTGGAATCTGCCTATCAGCTGCCTAGTGGGGAGCATGCAACAGCTAGGGCAAGCAAGGTAACTTGAACTTAAATGAATGATTTCCAAGGACTGTGCAGGTGGGTGAGTGAATTCCAGTCATCAACAATTAGTTCATCTTGTTCTAGGCTGTACCCTCTTAGATTCTTCATGATTCTGGATCCAGACTTCTGTATTGCCCAGTTTCTCTTTCTATAGTATAACACTATGCATGAGTGCCAGCTACGTGTGCAGGATGCCAAAGATCTTTTTTTGCCTATACCATGTCTGGGTTTAATATTTTGTACAATTGCATAATCTTTCATTCTGTAAAGGAAAAGAGAGACTTAAGCTGTTTAATCTGAAATTCTGCATGAATGTTAGTTATGAAACAGTCTTCTTTGAAGTGGTTATATTCTTTTTCACTACAGCTGAAGTAGCATTTGTGACATGCCCAGAACTGTGGAGCAGCTATGTGGAATTCTTTACGTGTACTTTGGTGTAGCCTCTCTGGTCATAGCTTCAAGGTCAGATAGTCATTTTACTAAGGCTCTTACTCAACTTCATGTATTTCAGAATTCCACATCCTGTGTTTGTGACTGTTTCTTCCTTTGTATGTATGACAATCTAATGTATAATAGAGATTCTGGTGACAATCTCACCAGTACGAGCTGAGAATGAGTGTACCAGCAGTAAGTTACTGCCTTCCAACATCCTCTTTGCTTTGTTTCACCATGGGAAACAGATTGGAATGATGTTTGGGGCTTTTTTTTTTATTTTTCCTTGTTCAACTAATTTGGCACAAGCATTCATCAGGTGTTCGGAGGCATTTGCAGACAAGGATGTGTTTGGAAGTGGATTGCCACTAGAATGAGTTCAGTTAACTTCTGAAGGGCACTTGAGAAAGGGCATAGTGAGGAAAGTTGAATTGCTATGGCATGCAGATAGATACCCACCATTGTCTACCATGTGGTAATGCATTGGGCATCTTTGTCTGAAATTTGGTAGTGAAAGGGAAGGAGGCAGAGAGCTCTACATGCGTTATAGCTTTGCTTTAAGGATGATCTGGGATTTTGGAGGAGGGATGCTTGGATGTGTCTGCAGGTGCAGCTGGAAAGAGGGGACACATGTAAGTTGTACTAGATTGTGCATTCAGTGAACGTGGATTTGTGTTCTTTAAGATTCTTCCTTTAAAATTAGTAAGTTAATAAGTTTATCTTTTTTGAGTGTCAGTCCGTGTGTTGCATAGGGTCATACAATACATTCAAATCCAGATAAAAGATTACCTTAGACCAAATCTGTCTAAATATGCATATCCATAAAACGCTTTCAGAAAGTCTCAAAAAAAAGTAAAATTTGGTTTAGTTAAATATTGCACAGTAGGGTTTTACCAAACCTGAAATTGTCATCCAAATGCAAAGGAGATGACACCGTTTAATCAAGGTTGCTATCCAAACTGATAGAAATACCTCTTTTTCTTTTTCCCAAAATGTAAGGATCAGCTTTCATTTAAGGTTATTTTTAGTCTGTATTACTTCTAGTTTTATCATACGTATTTATGCTAATTTAAGGTTAATTTATAGAAGCAAGGGGAAAATATATGATATTACATATGGGCAAATTCAAGTGGTCCTAGGTTTTGCAACGGAAGAAATTACTAAAGTCATACTTTTTTTCCCGAATTCCTATCAAGTAACGTGCGGGCTCAGCTTTTTGTTGCCTATTCTATTACTTTCTTGGACATGTTTCTCATTTAGGATTATGTGCAACTACTAAATACAGCCTGAGATATCATCAAGACTAGGGGAACCGCAGATAATGACTGATGTAACAGTTTGGAGGAGCTGAGTGCAAAGGTGTGTTTGGTGGCACTGTAGGAGTCCGGCAGAGCTTAGTATGTTTGGGTTTGGATGGTCTGACATTGAGCCTGTTGTGTCTATACTGTGTGGATAACCATCTGAGGTGCAGTCCTGTGATTGTATTTTTATTGCATGTCCTATCACCATTAAAGCAAAATCTAAATAAAGCTTTTCCTGTCTTTGATGGAAAATATTGTCCTGTTTTCAGTAGCAAGTTGATTGAAAATGTATTTCTTGGTATGTACTTTAGCAGTAGAATAAACAATTTTTAAAGGAAGTTTTAATCATAGTCAGTGCATGGTGCAGATACAGTTATATCAATATTTTTTGATCAGTAAAATGTATAATTTCAGCTGTAAGCAAACTAAATGCAGTTAAAAAGTATGCAGCTGATCATTTGTCCACTGCTCTAGTGTAGTGCTGGACTTAAATGTCTGGCCATGCTGGATGGGGATGTTCTTGCTCTCTCTTTTCTGAACCTTAATTATAACTATTCAGGATTTCTATTACAAGTGAAAGCATTGCAGAACTGCATTCCTTATGTTCAAATTTGTTGGATGTACTTCCACAGATAAGTCTTGCGCCATTGTTTTTCTCTAATGTTTAGTGCATTTTTTTTGCCCACGCACTTTCCTAGATTGTATTTTTGCTGCAGTTGCTAAAGGTTACTTAGTTTAGCACAACCCTTCTGAGAATATTTTTGCTAAATGTAATAAGCTGCTATTTGCTATAAATCAGTCAATATGACTCCACTTTAGGATCTCATTTTAAGATCAGTGTCTTATGTGACACTTCTTTGTGTATTTTTCTCCATTTCAGCAAGCTACATTGAGCGACCTCAGCTGATTCGCGCGAAAGTGCCAATAGTGAAATTCAGGGATAAAGTCAGGCAAGTATTCTGCTTAACATCATATTTAGACTCTGACATGAGGAAGTGCTCTGTATATGTACTGTCCATGTGGGTAGTCCCACTGAAGTCACGCTACGTTTGTTTGTGTTGTGCTGTAGCTGTATTGCAAGTTTGTACAGATAGCGTGCAGCAGCAGTCAGCTTACTTCCTTCATGGCCTGAAACACCTCTCGTGGTTGAGATGCTGTTTAGTTTCTGTGATGTGAATTATTAGCAGTACGTCATGTATTTCTATAGGTTATTTGTACATGGTGGGCTCCAGTTGGCTAATGGTTCGTTATGTAAAAACAGTGGTGGGAAGAAAACTGTTGTGAAAGATAATTTTGCTTGCTGTGCAAACATAACTATTGAGCTATGTCAGGACTAACTCACAGCATTTCCACTATACAAACAACACTAAAACAAACTTTAGTTTCTTGTGATGACATTGTTTTCTTGATCAAAAAACTGTTTCATTTTAGACAAGTATGTTCTGCTGTCTTCTAGGTAGGTATTGTGTGTTTAACAAAGTAGTGTTACATGTTCTATTGACAGTGTTAGGTGCTAATTTTATGACTTTTTTTAGAAGAGGTAAGTAATTGGAGAGAAGTGGATGTGTTGTATATTATTGTGTTCGTTCTATCTTCATTATGAAGACATGAAAATGAATAATCAAGAGGGATATACTAGGACAGAGAACAATGTGTTTCTTGTTGTACGTGATAGAAGTATCTGACCAAGGAAAAAACTGCAAAGCACTCAAATTGGTTGAGAGAGACTGAGTAATGTTCATATCTTCCTGTATTTATGGGCTTAGACTTACGTGTATCACATTCATGTAATAACATAGCTTGACTGTTCTTTGCAAATAGGAGTTTGAACAACTCTCTTGTGTCTGAACTACCTTTTTCTGCCTATATGCTGCTAAAATTCTGCAACTCTGTCTTTTAAAAACAGACAAGCCCACTTCTGTGGCATCTTAATAAAATCATATCATAGTGTGCTTTTATCACAATAGACCTTTATCAAGGCAGAAACCTTGCCGTGAGAAACTAAATCTATGTTTTTTACAACTTGAACTAATAAGTAAAGTCCATTTAAGCTTTTCTTGTATCTAAGATGATATAACACTTGTTAGGGTTTTTGCTTTACACTTTTCTCATTTACACCTAATCCCATATTTAATTCTCTATACTTGCCTACCTTTTAAAAGTTTGAATATTTTTTATCTAGTAACTTTCCCCTCTAACAGTACAGAAGGTTTTCTCCCATGCTTTTTGAAAGTATAAAACTCATCGAGCTAAAATTTGGGTTAAATGGCTTAGCTACATAAAACAGTGGTAGTGTACACTAAACAGTAAATTCCTGGTACAAATATTGAATAAATCATGGAGTTATAGTAAGAATTGTTTTTACTCATTTGAAATGAGATTTAAAAAGAAACCTTAGGTATGGAAGCGATTATGTCAAAAGATTGAAGTCTTTTTGTAGGCTTTTATAGTCCATACTACAGTCACTTGCAAAAATAACTAACAGTCATGATATTGCTATACCTTACAGACAGGATTTAAAGAACTCTTGATTTCCTACTAAATCAAAGTATAATCTTCTTAGACTAGAAGCTGCCCATTAGATTTTTCAGAGGAGAAAACAGTACTGTTCACCATCTGGTTTCCTGTGTTTTTTTGGAAGGGGAGAGTGGGAGGAATGAGATGACTTTGCACTGGGTTTTTTGTTTGTTTTTTTTAGTTTTTTTATCTCTTTCCAGTGATTTTTCTCTCATATAACCTGTCACCTCCACCCATGTTTAGGGGGTTTTAAAAATTGGTTTTTTATTTAAGCATCTGTCTCCAGGCTCTTAGCGGCCTCTGTCTTTTGTAGGCTCATATATGTGCACACTCATTCATTTTTTTCACAGAGGTCTTGAAAAATAGATTGGATTTTCTTTACCCAGCGGACTAAGCTTGTTTTAGCCAAAACCAGAACCTAAACATGACAAGCTTCCTGTGAAAGCCAGTTTTCTTAATGCCTGGCTGCTGGGAGAAGGTGGTAGAATTCAATGGGTGTAACCTCTGCATCTGGATTTTGATGTGTTGCCAGTGGTTCATATATACCTGAAAACTGCTATCTCCCCCTTAACTTTGATTTGGTGAAGAAGAAAGTGTCCAGTTTGTGTTTGTTCCCCTTTTCATCTTTAAAGCATTTTTCCTCTACAACCTACTGTAGGGTTACCCTGCTTCGGCAGGAGGGTTGGACTAGATGACCCACAGAGGTCCCTTCCGACCCTTACCATTCTGTGATTCAGTGCTTTAATGCTGAGAGAAGATCCAGTGAACTTAAAGACTTATGAATCTATTTGTTTGGTAGTCTTTCCCAGGAAAGAATTCCAATGCTGGCTCTCCTACCAGGCAAGCCTTTGATTAATTAACAAGATTTCTGTAGTACAGAGGGTATAAAAGCTTCCTCTTCTGCTACATTTGATGTGCAGTTGACCCTTTTCCTCTCCTTTAGTGCTTTTGGTAGAACTTGAGTCCTAACACTACAAAAACTTTTTCAGTTGCCAAAATTGCAACATGTATTAAATATGCATATTAAAGTACAAAATAACTGCAGTAGAACTTGCTTAATCAGCATCTGGTAAATAGTAATCTTGTCAATTGAGGTTAACTGGAATTACACGTGTAGCCTGACATATTTCCTAATTATATTTACACATGCAAATAATATTCTCACTGGTGTTTATGCTTATTTTTACAACTGTCAAGCGGTAGCTCAAGCTTGTTTATTTCCTGTACTATTATGTACGATGCTCTTAAAACATAGAATCACAGAATCACAGAATGGTAGGGGTTGGAAGAGACTTCCGTGGGTCATCTAGTCCAAGCCTCCTGCCGAAGCAGGCTCACCTACAGCAGGCTGCACAGGACCTTGTCCAGGTGGATCTAAAAAGTCATGTTTGATATTAATTCTAGTTTAAAATTGTGTGATATTTTTGATGCAAATAATGTTTTAATGTAGCTAATGGTGTCAAAAACCTTTTGTGGGCATCAAATTAATGTGTTTTCTCTTGTTTAATAAATTCCATATCAATGTTCCCCTTACAATAACTCAAGAAAATCCAAAGGAGGATTCAGGCAAACAAATGCTGTGTGGATGAGACTTGGATATATAAAATGTAAATAGCTGTACATTGTAGATAGCTACTTCTTTGTCGGTAATAGGCTCTTCATGTTGCGAGTTACAGTGTTGCTGTAGCTTATTAACTATTAATTTAATTTGTGGAGTATTATGAGTAGTTAAAGCTCTATATGCAGTATGAAATTCAAACTTTGGGGCGATAGAGCAGGTAGTATTTGTTTGCCTTGTTCTTATTTGCTGTTAACAGCATGAAGCAGTTATTAAAACTGTTTTATCACAAAACATGCAATCTTTACTAATAAACAGTTTTCATTTCAAAGTGCTTGCTAATTATCTCTGACCATCACTGCAGAAAAGAGATTCTTACCTTTTGACCTCTTCCAGTGCTCCTTCTCAGTTCATTGGCATGATTTCGTAAATCGGAGAGTCCTTCCTGGCGTCAAAAGTTGGTCATAGTGAATCACGTAGTTCAAATCTGGCTGGGAGAAGATTCGTTAAAAATCAAAAACATGTTTGATATATTAAGTTGTCATAAGGTCTGAATTTGAATCTATATATTTTCTCTATGTAAAACAACAATTAGATTTCTGTAGCAATGGAATTCAAGTCTGTAAGCAATTCAAGCACTGTCGACAAAACCAGAGTAGAAATCACAGCATCAAAATTCTGAAGAAAGTTTCTAGAGTAGCATCATAAGTTACATTTCTCTACCTCTGTCACTACGTAGGTAATAAATATTCTGAAATTGAATACCATGATTCTTGATTCTTTTTCTTTTCTCCTCCCCAATAGCTGTGTGGAGTTTGACTTGAATGTAAACAATGTTGTAGGAATAAGAAATACATTCCTTCTGAGAACCTATGCATACAGTAAGTTTCTATTGTATCTTCTTATTTCTATAATCTTTGATTTTTAAATCTGTTTAGCTATTGATAAACTATTAAAATTGAGTTCAATGTGTTAGGCTACTATATGTATAATTAGCAAATGAGCTGCATTAGGTAGCTTGAAGATAACTTATTGTTGCTCACTCTAAATATATGGAGAAAACTGATACATCAGCTAAGTATGTTTTTAATTGAATATTATAATATTCAGAAGATAACAATGGTTCTTTATATTAAGGTTCACATATCTGCTACAAGGGCTGCTTCAGTATTCTACAGATAACGAGATCAGTATACCAATGATTATCTAGTGGTATAATCTCCAGTTTCTTTTATTTCGTTACAGCCACTGATAGCTATGTGTGGCTGTATGCTGTCATAGAGTCTTTCCTTGGAAAATCCAAAATACCGCTTCGGTTTTTATGCTAACTTGAAGGGGAAGAAGAAAGAACAGCACGTTTGGTACTAAACTGAGGTTTTCTTACTTAGCATCACAATGTCATTTGGCAGATAAATACATAAGGAGTGGACCTCAGTCTAATTCTTCCAGGCCATTTACAGTTCTTCCTTTACCACCTTCTTCAGTTCTTGCATACGGGAGTTCCTTTCTATTTAGGGTTGGAAGTTATCAGTAGAAGTTACCTTTACTAGTTAATTTTCACTAATATTTCAGTTAGAGTAGTTTCAGTGTTGCATATTCGTGTTACTAGGATAATCTACAACTTGTCCTGGATCAGTTTATTAACTGTAATTTCTTCATACATCCACGAAGGCATGTGCCTGGAGAAGGATTTCCTTCCAAGCTTAAAAAGGTTAGGGAAGTCGTCTTTGTCATTCACGGCTACAGGTGAGGGGTCACTTCACCAAATCTACTGTTGATACAGTTGTTCCTGACTTCTGACACAGATTTCCCTTATTCCTCTCAGCAAATCACTGTAGGGCAGATAAGAACCCAGATGTGAAGAGAGCAGTGGAAGGGATCCTAGTGTCTCCCTTTCTGTTCTACCTTGGTGCCCAGTTCTATAAGGCCAGCAAAATTAACGTTGTCTCCTGATGAAGGATAAATACTGGTTTTCTTCTTGAGGTCACGGAGTGGGTTGGTAGCTAAGGCAGACTTGTGATTGAGATTATCTCCTTTATGTGCTAGACCTTCTTAAATAGGCAAACTGTATCAAGCATAGTCTGTCTTGTCTTCTTTGGATCAGAAAACTCTCAGGTGACAGAAGGCAAACAAAAAGTGGAAACTTTTATCAGACAATCTCTTTACGTACTTTTAGAAGTCGTATCAACCAGGGTGGATAGCATTAAAAGTATTAGCCTGCTTACCTTAAATTTGTGGCTGAAGGGTTTCACCCTGCATGGGAGAAAAAAAGATCAAACTACTTGTCATGTGGAAAATATATGGATCTCTATTCCATTAGAAAAAATTAGATGCTCAAGCAAGCAGGGACTGGTTATCTTAGTGAGCATGATAGAACAAAAAAAACCCTCATAAATATTTCTGTGGATGCTCTTGTGTCTTTTTTGAAATCAGCTCTTCTATGTTGGTGCATAGGTGCAGTAGAAAACATCAAAGATGATACGGCAGAGCGAAGCAGAACATCCACAGAAAATGTAGGCAGATTAAGCAGAGCTAGAAACTGAAGTCTGTGCTGTTGTGTTATCAGTTGTTTGCCTAAGGAGGCATGTCTGCAATTAAATCAGCAATTGATGGTAGGTATTTTTCAATTAGTAGAAACTGGACCTTTGAGCAAATGATGTTACTGAGCATTTTCTTGAGGGAGTAGCTTGTTGGCTGATGAAGGAGTATCAGGAAAAGTTTACTGGCCATGCTGCACACTAACTTTGTTATATACTAACTACAGGCACTAGCAGACAGAAAACCTTACTTCAGAATAAGATTCACGAAAGATCTTTTCTACTGTGGCACACACACACAAAATAGTCTCGTTTGGAATTTGAGCCTATTTGCATTTTTCTTTCATGGAAAAACCCCGTTTCAGTTAATGCATATTCAGATGATGTCTGTATAGTAATTCTTCTGCATCTCACAATTAGTCCTTTTTTTCGTTCAGCCAGTGGGAATGGTTGAACTAATGTCAGGAATGAGGTGACTGGCGGTAATGAGTTCTGCTGTTTCTAAGAGGTCTTCTGGATCTAGGACATTCATACTGAACAAAAGAGTACCACTTGCAGGGGCATGTGTGCTGAACCACTGTTAACAGGTTTTGAGAAAATCACCTGCTTGATTAGGGTACTCTGTTATTCTGAAAATCCTAACTGGTGGATGCCTGTTGTCGTGGATGAAGTGATTACCTATTGATATATTCCTGTCCTGATATACAGAATACAAAACTTTGCACAATATTATTAGGTTAGAAAAGATATTTCAGAACATTTAAGGCATTGTAAGGCCATCGTAAGCCACTTGACTGAGCTGAGGATCTGCTTCCACATATCTGTAAATAATAAATGAAGTACCCTGCAAGGTGCTTAGGAGCTGGTGATGAGTGACGTCTCCCTACAACACACTACTACCTTAATTAGAAGGCTGTCTATGTTCCCCAGAAATTCAGAAGATCATAGCTGGAATATGACTGTATTCATGTGTTTCCTCATGAAAAGCATATGTCTTGATTTAATGAGTTATTGTATCTAACATCTCATCTACATAAAAAGCTATTGAGGATGAGGCAAATTTAAAATTTATGTTTGTGTGCGAGGGTTACTGCTTTCATGGATCCTAAGGAAAACTTTAGAATGACTTCTGTCTTTTCCAACCAGGAGAATTCTTTTCCCTGTCCCCAAAGGTTATATAACCTAACAACAACAAAAAAAAGTTAGATGTGGTCCGTCCTGGCAGCAAGTTAATTCAGGGAAAATTAGTACAATGAACTGGAGAGAACTTAAAAGGAGAATGTGACACTGCTACATTGACTGATGCATCCAGTTTTGTCTTACCTGCAAGTTACCTGGCATAGCCCTTGTAATGTGTCTGTGGATCTTGGTACTCAAAAGACTGTTTTCAAATACAAGTATTTTTTTCTGATTTTTTGTAAGATGGATAGTAGTTGTAGAATAACTAAGTAAATTCTATAAAATGGTTGCAAAAGGTAACCTTAGAATTCAAGAGTATCATGTTGATCAGTTGGGAACAAATGATTCATTGCTGTCTAGTTCAATGTGCTTTTTTTTGAGATGTATTTATTTTACTTGCAGTTGAGAATCGAGTCCGTCCATTAGTACTTGTTGTTAAGAAGTGGGCACGTTTTCATGACATAAATGATGCCAGTCGTGGTACTTTAAGCAGCTATAGTCTTGTATTGATGGTTTTGCACTACTTACAGAGTAAGTATTTTTTCACATGTTGAAACTGTCCCTTTTAAGTTCGTATTTATGTAGTTCTTCTCTTTAATCAAATACAAGCAGGAGTCATCTTCCACACAGAAAAATTTGAAAATGAAGTGGGTTTGCTCCATTTCCTTAGTGCTATATTTTTCTTTAACAAGTGCACCTCTTCTCTAGAGGCAGTGTTATCAGCTTTAAAAAGGTTAAAAAAGACATCAATGGACCTGCAGGACACTATGTAACTATAAAATAAACTCAAGCACTAGTTAACAAAAATCTGCCTGTTAACAAAGAGAAAATAAACTCAAGCTCTAGTTAAGAGATCTGCCTTTTAACAAAAGGAAAAGCATAACAGTTTTAGTGGGTTTTGGTTGTTTGTTTTATCTGGGGACTTCGAAGAAAATTCAAAGGGATAACAGATGCTGTGGGATCATTTTTCTGTCTTCTGGTGAGCAAACGACTGAACATGCGACACATGTATATGCGAGAATGCACTACCATGTGGTTAGATTTTTTCCACTGATTACTGTCTTCTGTAAGGTGACAGATCTCAAAGACCACTAGAACCAGGGATATTTGACTGTCAGTGGCAGTATCTTTTCCTGTGATTTCAATATATTGAAACATTGAATATCTGTACAGAGCTGGAGTGATTTACCTGAGAAATTAAGGATCCCTGTTGAGAATTCGAGAAACCCATGCAGTCCAGAGATGCTTTCAAGGAACAGATTAAAATGAATCTCCCTGTTTATCCCCCTATTTCTTTCTCTCGTTAGAGGAAGTTCACACTTGTGATTTCTGTAGTTTGTAATTCTTGCTTAAGACTTAAGGATTATCATTTAAGAAATCATTTAGCTTGAGTTCTTGATTCTTTATTGGGAGATGAGTGGCTTCAGAAAGGAAGGCAAGGAGCCCCTGAGGTGTACATCTTGGAGTAACATGCATGTGGAACTATTTTCTTAAATCCTGTCAGTTCATGTACAGACTGTATATTTTGCTGCTTGTATTCACTCTGTCTTTGTTTTAATTTTTTTGTAACCTGCTGATTGTTCTTGTTCATGTTATTTTGATGGTAACTGGTTCTTCACATTTAATGATCATTGTATAATGATCAAATTGTGTAGGCTCTCATTTTAGACTTTTCCCCTTTGTCATTTTGTGTGCGTTTATAATTTTTTTTGTTAAATCTGGCAGAAACAACGTTTAGCTCCTCTGACAGCTTCTTTGGCCTGGAATGTAGAAAATTGCTGTAGAGTGGGTAGTCAACTATTTATTAGTTTCAAGGTCACACTACACCCACTCTGTGCTAGCGTGGAAAGCTTTTTATGACAGTTGACTCAAGCTAGTGGCTTTCTTTCAGCTGAATAGTATCTGTCGTAAAGGACCTAGGAAGGTGTTTAGTGTATTTGGGATCCAGTTGGCTGGGTTACTTCTGAATTCTTTGATGTCCATACTGTGTGCTTCTTGTTATTGTACCAGTCATCAGGACAGTAGGACATAAGCTAGTCTATCCAGTGACCGTTTTTTTTTTTTTCCCCCTACATCTGCTATAATGGAATTCCGTGGATTTTGTTGTTTCTGTGGAAAGAAAAGAAAATGTGGCCAGGTCTGCTGTCAGAGCTATGAAACCTCACTGTAGATGACAGAGTACTTCAATGTAGATCCTTAATACACATCTGGGGGAAAAAATCAATCAAAAAATGTTGATTGAGGACATGAAGTGGCACTGAACTTAAAAATGCCAAAGTGATTATTAGATACAAGACTGAAAATGTTGGGGACTACTGGATGTGAAGATTGCTATGCAAAGGTGAAGCACAAGCAGGATGGCAGAAAATGTATCTTTACATGGCGTAGCAATTAGCGACCACCTTAACAATGACTTGATAAGCATTTGATAGTTATTGTTACACTTTTAATGGAAACAGGCCTTTTCACTTGGAAATTTATTCTCCAAATCTATTTTCATTGTATTGCAGTTACTCTAGAGACTTGTATTGGGTGATGTGTGCAGTCATGGACAGCCAGTTACTGAGCTGAGCATAGAAGTAACACACAAAAGGGAAGAGAGTAGGAGTTACAAGGAAGTATAATTGTGTAGGCTTGCCAAGATGTTAACAATCGCGCAAGCATGAGGACATTTTGTCTAGGGAAAGGAAAAAAAGGTTCAAATAATCCTTTTCTGGCAAAACTCTGATTAGTCAACTGCCTGGGAAGCATCAGCAGTCCACAGACCAAAGAGGAGCCTTATACCTGTGCTTCATCAGCCTTTTCTGCTAAAAAAGGCTGAAGTGTGGCTATGGACCTGTATGTAGCGTGAGCTGTTTAGATTCTGATGTTTTATTCATGCAGATTTTAATGTTCCCCTGCCCCTTCCTTCCTTCCTGCTATATGCATGTGATGCTGCTGAAAGTAGCTTGTGTCCTGGTCATAGAATTTCTGATAGAGCTTTTGTTGATGTTGCTGGCGAGGAGGGAAAAAGCAAAAATAAAAGTAAATAGTGTCCCTGTCTTCACTAGGCAAATTTCTTTCCTTTACTACTTAATCCATTTCCATATTCTTACACAGGTATGGATATGTTTGGGCCTGAGGTTAGTGTGGCTTGAGTTTATTTTAGAGGTACGTCAGTGTCTTGTACATGGACTTTCCTCCAGGTAACAGGTCCAGCTATCTTGTACAGTAAGAAAGAGAAAACTCATGGTGAATGCTAATGGTAAGTGGTAACTTTTCACCTTAACTCTGTGCTCTTCGTATAGCATACAGCCCCGGATGAAATATTGACTGCTTGTATTACTCATATTTTGTTGCCTTTTATTTTAGTGTGGCAGAGGTCTGGAAATTATCCAAAATGTTGCAGAAATAAGATGCTTTTGCACATTTCTAATCACACACAAATAAAATAAAAACATTATTGAAGCAGCTGTGAGCATATTCTTAGTTGTTCTGGTTCTTGGTCCCTATGGAAAAAGGATTCTGTAACATCTCATCCCCTGTGAGACCGTGTCTGAAGGGTGAAAAGTCCCAAGTCAGTCCTGAGTGCTGAATTTAATTATTATTCTCCCTAGTGAATCATGTAGACCAATTGTTTAAAAAAAACATGCTGAAGACATGATGCTAAAGCTTTAACGTGAGGAGTGGTCTAACAGTTCTGTAGCGGCTGCAAGGCTTGAGGGGAATGTGAATACTTCAGGACTTTTTTCTGTCTATCTGTAGGACCACCTAACTTGGCAGATTAGTTTTTTCCTTGCCATTTGTGTTGTGCAATAGATGCTTTCCCCATCCATGACTTTCACAGAAGTTAGAATTGTTCAGTTTACTTTGTGTTTATTAGTATCATTGTCATCATAGTTTTTATAACCTGTTGGCTGTTTACTAGATCAGCTAACAGCATTAGACTGTATTTATGTATTTTGTGGGAATTTTGCTAGCAATGCCTGCTAAGTGTTGGGCATTTTATCGTTGGGTTACTTTTGGAGATTCAGTATGTAATACTTTGCAGCTGAAGAATGTGTGCTTTTGCGGTATCTGGAGAATTCCTGTGCTGTGGTAGAATCATATTAGATGTAGGAAAAAAAGAAAAATTAGTGAAGCTCTGGTTTTTCCTTTAGGGAATCTAGGTAAGTTTCTTGTAGCCATGAATTAACATGAATTTTAGACGCAAAGTCGTACCCAGCTGCTGTAGAATTTTTCATGTCTTTTACAAATAGTAGTAAAAATCTTACTGACAGCTTCCTGTAGCTGAATTAACTCCTTATAGTACTATATACAAAATATAGTCATATAAAGATTTCCTGAATAACTTTTATTTTACAAAGTACATGAAAGTGAAGGGGTTTTTAAGATGGAATTTCAGTCTAACGTGTTGGTGTAGTTGATATGATATTTTCCTGTGAATTGCATGAATCACAGCAACTTTAAACTTTTTTTTTTGTAGCCCTACCTGAACCCATCCTTCCATCCCTCCAAAAAAATTACCCAGTAAGTGTTTCTTATGAATTTACTACATGATGTATGTGTATGAACCTGCTTATCTAAAATATATGAATTCTTAAATATCTCTAGTGGATGAAGTTAAACACAGTCTAAGTCTGGTCATTGATACACTAAACATAAATATGAAAAAGGGTCATTGCTGCTCTTGATCATTTATTTAGTGAAAACAGCCTGTTATGTGTGAGAAGATTTCACAAGTAGTTGGAAACAAGTGCTAATGAGAGCTGCAGACCTAATTCTCTTTGTGTTGGCCTGGAAATACCTGTGTCATCTGTAACTTTGATTCCTATTTTGTAATACATTAAATAGTGTTTTTTCCATCCAGTAGTGTTTTTTCTAGTGTTTCAGAATTCCATACCCTTCCCACAGCTGTTGAGTCACCTGATATTTCTAGGGGCAGAGAGCAAATGATATATGTTTGCTGAAGATAATTTGACACTTCACAAAATAGGGCTTCAGTCCAACAAGAAAAAGGCTTTTTGGGAGTTTGCTGTTATGTCCAGATCATACTCTGTTGATTTCCAGAGGACACTCTGATTCAGTTTGCTTTGATCCTCTGCAGAATTAGGACGGTCATTAGTGAGACTTAATCTAAGGAAGATTATCTACAAATAAGAGCTACCCTCCTAAATGTTTGTCTGGGGACAAAAGAGCTATTGCTGAGTAGTTAGTCACAGAATCATAGAATGGTTTGGGTTGGAAGGGACCTTTATAGATCACCTAGTTCCAACCCCCCCTGCCATGGACAGGGACATCTTCCACTAGACCAAGTTGCTCAGAGCCCCATCCAACCTGGCCTTGTTCTGTGTTCTATAATAGTCTATGCTGTAACTCATTTACAGGAATTCCTCAGCTCCTTTCTGCTTACTTTTCCTTTCATAGTTGCCATAGTTTGGTATCTCTGTCTATTTCGGTTATTTAACTGTTGCTGGTAATTGTGCTGAGGTAGTATGAGAAAGCTATTCTTTCTTTTGCATATATTTCCTGTGATGCTTAACGGGGAATATTTGATGACACTGTATATTAGGGAGAAAAATATTGTGGTGTCAGCCATTTTAGATAATTAGGATAATCGAGATGCAGAAGAAAGCTTTGTGCTATAGTACACTGCAGGTTTTGATTTTTTTACTGTACTGTATACCTTCTAATTTTTTCACTGTTAGTGCTCAAAAGCATTTGAAGCTGTTTTTCATTTCTTGCACACTTGGCTCTATCTGAGGTTTATTAATTGCTAGATTTGCTAATTATGTTCACTTAAAGCTCGTATGCTGTAGCATTTTAAGTTTTGTGTAGCCTGTAATTCAAAGAGAACAACGGTAAGAATTGCTAACTTTTGAGTCCTTTGTAATAATAATGCAAACATTTATATTTGTAGTGTTTGAACTGTGTAAAGGCCTTCAGAGCACGATACAAATATTAGTGGTTTAAATGATTAAAGCAAAATTTAGAATACCATAAGTTGAAAAAACTAATTTGTACTAAATGCAAGGTTTTATCTTGTGTCATGTGAAAGGGGTAAATCACTTGCAGGTTCCTGTGTTTCTAGAATACTGCTGTAAGAATAACATTTTTTACTCTGTTTTAACATAGATTTTTTTTTTTGTTTTGTTAGTTATGTTGCCTTTGGAGGATGGACTAAATATTCTAGGATTGCTAATAAAATAAAAAGAAGATTTTATACATGCTTACTAGAAAACCAAATCAAAACTATGGATTAAGATTTTAAAAAAAAATTATGCTAGAAACTTGCAAACATATTTTAAGACTACTGTCTCCATTAGCAATATAATTAAGTGTTTGAAAATTGTGAAAGTTAAAATTTCTAAATATTGGTACTGCAAAGAGATTTAAAATGAAAATGAGAAATACACCAAAATAATTCTGGTTTTGTAGCTTACTTGTAATAATTACAAAACATGGTCAAATGTCAGTATCCAAAAAACGATACTTTTTTCTTGTGGTTGTAGCTGTTCAAAGCCCTGTCTCCATCCTAATACTACACATAAATACTACTTCTTCCCTTCTGAAACAAATCATGCTACCTACAATATGTCTGGGTTTTTTTTCAAAATCAAATCTGTAGCGCTTTCTGCAGCCTGAAAATACTTCTGCACTTTGAAGGAAACTGCTTGTGTTAAATTGTAAGCACTATGTGAAAGAGACATGCTTATCTTGAGTGAGAAACAAAATGCAGATTCTGTGACTCAGTATATCCCTACTGCAGATGTGAAGGGCAAGAAGTCCTGGAAAGCCCCCAGATCTGCCCACCTGTGTATTCTGTTGCCATGGGGGAGTCTCCGGCTGGCACCAAGCTGACGTGTTCTGCTGACGTGTTTTGCATCTGCTAGTTTACAGGGAGTATTGAACCATATCCAACATGGGGTTAGATTCTGGGGATTCCTGCCCTCCCCCCCAGCTGGATAGGGTAGATGAGAGTAGCCCACAAAAATGTGTATCGGTACTGAAGTTCTTATTGAACTTGTCTCCGAGTCAGGACTTTTACAGCTGAGCAGTTGGGAACCTGTGGTGGCTTAGGCCATTATGGTTTCTGGTTGTTTAGCCTGTGCGTTTGTCAGAGGTGAACATTGCTGCAACTGGGAGTCAGACAGGAACGTGTGTCCGAGTCTCCAATGTTCTAGAGCAGCCTGGTGTAGTAGCTTAATTCCAGACAAAGATGTGTCTCCACTAGTGCTCTGGATTGTGAACTTCATGGACTCTAGCATGAGCACATCTTTGTTTCTGCTGCCTCAGCTTCATGAGCCATCATATCCTGTAAAGTATGGGGAGAATCATATGTTGGAAAAGAGCTCTAAGATCATCAAGTCCAGCCGTGGGATGGTGCTTACTGTATCTTCTTCATGCACAGGATTCAGTCATTGGACAGACGTAATTTGCTTCGCTCTTCGCGTTGCACTTTTTAAAAATTATGAACGAGTTAAATGTTCGTTTGTAAGACTAAGTAGGATATTTTATGTGTGTGAATATAGATACCTATCAAAAATGGCAAGGTCCTACGCTGGTGTTACCACTGTAAGCTTTTTTGAAGGAAGACTCTTCTACAGTCAGAGTTAAACTCATTATACATCAAGATACTCAAATGTAATGTCTTGTAAAGATTTTTTTGATGTACGCTTGTGTTCCTTTCTAGTGTGTAAGGTGGAACGAGAATATGTGTGATTGTAGTGTTATGTAGCTTGGAACACGAAGCATGTTGCTGAATGCTAGTGTTTCCTTCAGAAATTGGCTAACCAAGGTAAAGAGTAGAGATCTAGCAAAAAAGGAGAAAAGACTTCGGAGTCCCTTTTTCTGCGGTATTTTGAAATAATTGATAGTTCACTTATACTTCTTGCTAAATCAGACCCTGAATGTCTCTTGCATTTCTTAAACAGCATGAAGCAAAGACACAGAAAGCAAATTAGGGACTAATTTTAAAAGAAGCTGATTTTTTTTTTCCTTTTAGAGCAAGTTAAGAAGGGAAAGGTTACAGGGAAGGCCTACTTGAAACTAAGCTAGTTTGATGGTCTGTGGCAAAGCAGAAGAATGAGCGTAGGTATCCTGTGGCTGGTCTGGTGTCTTGTTCACTGGACACCGAGTGACTCCTTTTTTAAGAAATGACCTTAAACTACATTGTTGGTTATTAATATATTGAATATTGGTATATCTTGACAGAAGTTTTCATTAAGTCTTCCCCATACCCAATTTTAAGTAATAATTAATTTGGTTTTATGTATGAAACTTCCTAATCTCTAATAGTAGTTTCTTCCATAACAGATTTTGTGTATTTGAGAAAGATGAAACACTATTTTTTTTACTTCTACACGTGGTGATCAGCAACCTGCAGTGTTTAAAAAAAATAAGTTGACTGTCAGAGACATGATTAGCAGCTTGCTTTAGTGTAAAAAAAAAAAAACAAACAAAAAACCAAAAAATTCTTCTTTGCTTCCAAAGAAGTACTTTCAGTCATGCTTTGCATTTCGTAATATTAGTTGTCTTTTTAAGAGTCATTTTCATAGTGGTATGATCACTAAAACAGTGGAGATGGGAAGTATTTATACGTGTATCTCTTAAACTAGCTGGCTGAGGTTTTTAAATTAGTAACTGCTATAGACAGTAACTTGCATTTTTATTAGAGCCCTTGTATAGAATAATACGCGTTTATTTTTTGAAGGCAAATGCCTTTCTGAGTAAGGAAAACTTTGATTTACCTGACCTTTGTGAAGTAAGTGTATTTAATATATGTGGTAAAACTTGGAACTGCAGGTTTTGTGAAATTGAACTTGCTTTTGGAAAAAAATTTAAACATCGTAATTTTAGGTTGTAGAGTTGATAAGTTTTAATGCTAATTGCTAGACAAAGGTTTAGAAAATTGCCTTCTAATGCAGGTTAGGAATTTTATCTCTTCTGCCAGAGGTAGGAATCTTTGGAACATGATACATTTCCTGCTCCTCAAATGAGGAGTCTTTCACTTTTATCACTGCTGCTTACGTAACTCTTGATCAGTTGCAGACTCAGTGAATAAACAGACAAACTAAATGTTCAGATGAATGCATTTTTTAGGATTAGGATTCTATCATAATTACACTGGTCAAAGTACAGATTTGTGATTTGAAAGGTCTGCAAGATTTTGTGACTTCCTATTTCATTAGCTGCTAACAAATCTTACTGAAGAAATATCTTTGGATAAAGTTGGATTTTATATCCTTTTACTCTTTTTTTTTCTGGATGTAAGCATACACACACAGGCATACATGTATTCTCCTTTTTTTGCTCTAAGCTGTAGTGCAACTACATCTGATATATTATCTGTTGCTATAACTGTTGATTTTTTTTCTTAATCTAATGGTGTAGAAACACTAATAAAATTAATTGTGGTCAATATATAAAATGTAAATAAAAGGTACTTAAGGTGAAGAATGATAAGAAAAAGCAACGTCCTCTCTAAGATGGTAATAGTGCTAAAGAAAATAGCTTGCTTATTATTCTGAAAAATAATATCCATAAATCTAACATTTTAGCTGCTGAGTATGCCACCCTCATTGTGGTGGCAGATTCTTCTTGCAGGTGGGAAGTTGTCACGTGTTTGAACATTCAAAGCGTAGAAGGAAAATCGTTTTGTTCTTCTGTTCAAAAATGTCTGCTGCTTCCAAAAGCTTACTTATTAGTCTTAGTAGACATCTGTTGTAGTAATTTCATTGCGTTTGTGTTGTATTTTTTGGAGGTCAGCAGCCCTCGTGCTCATTGCTTTTTTTTTTTCCTCATGTCCATTTGCTCATGAGCTGTTATGCGGCTAATACTAAATTCGTTTGTTGTGACTCTTCTACAACTTTCTCTGGGAATGGTCAGAGTGACTTTCACTCAAGTACCTGTCTGATTGCCTTTAAGGTTAAACTGTATATACTGTATAACATAGGAACAACTGTTCCCCTGTCACGTCTTTATATGCTGCATATGTGCTTTTTGTGTCTGTCTGTCTCCATGTTTTTGGTGTGTTCTCTTGGATTATAAGATGTTAAATTCTGAGCTCTGCTAATTATTTTATATGCAGAGTTATGTTATATGAGAACAAGACCTGAAATTTTTCACAGCTGGAAGAATTGCCTCCACACCCCTCCCTTCAGAAGGTGTTGCAATAAGGTTCTAGGAAGTTTTGCCAGAATTGGCAAAAGACGACGGGGGTCCCAAACTTTCCAGTTCTACTGGTTTCATTGCTAACCATACTTTTCTCAGAGGAAGTAAGGCCAGCTGCGAACATGGAAATAGCATTACAGTGTATAGTGCTTCCAGTGATATTCCAATACTATAAAGTTTGAGTCATGCTGGATACTACTATTTAAAATAACAAAGGAGTGGGAGGTCACTAAGTGATCATTACATACAGTTATGGCTGAATAGGTGCCTGAATTTACATAGATGTATTTCTTTATGTGAATGAAAAGCTTGCTCTTGTGTATCTTGGGTTCATTTTCTTTAAAATACACAACACTGCTGTAAAATGTAATATCCTGATATTACGGGATTCTAAAAATTCTTTCTCTAGCAAGAGAACATATGTTCTTCTCCAGGTACACCATTCTCTCAGAAGAACCTAGAGGATGCAATGGACAGATCTAAAACCATGCTAATTTAGTCTTGTGCAGATTCCTTTTGAAAATGGCAGTAGGACAGGGCTCTGAGCAACCTGATCTAGTTAGTGGTGTCCCTGCTCGCTGCGGGGGTGTTGGACTAGATGACCTCTAGGGGTCCCTTCTGATCCAAAACTTTCTATGATTCTATGACTTTCATTTATAACAAACCTGACTTCTTTCCCCTCACCCCCCAAAGAAAAGCATACTTCAGATCAAATACTGCATTCTGTGTATTCAGTTTTTTGTATAACTTTTTTTTTATTCTTTCAGATAGGTTGGCTAGAGCAGGTGCTGCTGCAGTCTTTGAATTTATTATGTGGGAGGATGCAGGTTCATATTAGAGTCAATGGGTTTCATATGCAATTTCAACTCTGTGCTGTGGGAAAAACATCAGGCCTTCCTTTTGGATGTTTTCTGTACCACAGTTACGGGAACTTGGTGATAAGTGCATCAGCTTCATCTACCTTATCTCTGTCCAACTGCAGCCAGCTCAGTACAGGCTATGTTACTCAGCTTCTGCTCATGTGGTTTTACTAGCATATAAATGCAGGTCCAGTTCAGAGATCCTCCCATGTTAAAATTTTTAAGCAAACAGAAGGCAAGGGATGGTTGTAGACGCTCCTGTGCAAGATGATTCTGAGTTCAGGGGAAGTAATTATTATCCAACAGAGGAGCACAAGAGGTAGTCTGTTGCTTGTAAGTTGTCCTCGAACTTCTAATAAGGAAATGATAAGCAGCTTTTTTATTGTGAAAAATACATGCACCTAGATTAAGGCGTGCTCTGTGTGTATACATACTCTCTTATTTTATTTTGACAGGAATCTTTTGATCCTACTATGCAGTTGCATCTTGTTCATCAATCTCCATGCACTATTCCTCCTTACCTCTCAAAAAATGGATCAAGCCTTGGGGATTTGCTAATAGGCTTCTTCAAGTATTATGCTACAGAATTTGAGTAAGTAATAAGCCCATCTTAGTGTTTTAGAATTTGCAAAAAACTTTTAATCCTGCTATTTAATATAGCAACACTTTATAACCCTCAAAGAGAAAGAATAGTAGTAATGAAGGAGTGATAACTGACAGAGGAAATGGCTGAAAAGACTGAAGGACGATGGGAATGCTGATAGAGTGTCTGACATGTTTTGCTTAGCTGTTCTGCAAAATAGCTGCCAGCAGTTAGGGAGCTTTGTCTTTTAAAAATAGCTGGGTTTTGTTATGTTACACTATTCTAAAACTGCCTATCCATGTGTGAGAGAAATCTGATACTGATAGTAATATGAATTATTTGGACCTTAATAGCTGCACTTGTATACTTGTCACCCCGAGTCAGTGGAGGTAACTGACCAGGTGGCTCCTTAGTTTGACCATAATATACATCAATATAGGTCACAGCTAGTGAAGAATTCTCCCATATATAGTTGATTCACGAACTGTGGTGATTTTGCTAGAATTTGAGTTTAATTTTGGCATCTGGACTTTCTTGTAGAAGAAGAGAAGCTAGTTGTGAGGGCATCTGAAAAAGCTGTAGATTACAAAGATTTTGCCAAATTGTCCCTTGAGAAAATCTAAGAAAAAGTGCTTGTCCATATAAATTACAAAATGGTTGTATTTCAGTAAGCTTAAGGGTCTAAAAAATCTGTGAAAAATAGCCATTAGAATTCCTGTATTGAAAATGTTACATAGCTGAGAAGTGAGAAGTCGTATCAGGAAATGATACACCTAGTGCATCAGTTACCTTGTTGGTAACTTTCTGCTACAGAAATAAAACCTAGTCAGGTATGCTGTTTACTTGACCATCTGTGTATCCCTGACAACTATAAATCCTGTTTGAAAGGAGCAGGGTGTGTGTCTCGAAGATGCTAAGATTCCATATAGTTTCATAAAAACTGGTAATTGGCTGGAGAAACCAGTGCTCATGCTGGGGAAAAGGTGGGCAGAATGTAGTTTAAACATTTTTGTGTGTGTGATAGCCAGCTGATGAAAACAATTGCAGTGTCACACTGTCCACAGTATCATGTCATCTTTGCTTTGTGATTCCGGATGGAAACAATATTGTAGGTGGGAAAGAGGATAAGAGTTAATTATACACAACACAGGGCTCTGTTAGTTTTTCCATGAAAGGCAGAACTAATATTTTACTCCTGAATGTGTTGAATATTTTCATTGCTGTAATCAGTATTTTTTTCAGTGTTTGCTTTCCCTGTGAAACATTTACTAGTGTTTTTACGCACAGAAATTTTGAGATTATATTTCAGATACTGTGACTCTTAAGTTAGGTCACACTTAAAAGACCTGTACTGTGCCTGTGAATTTTCACTATTGAACTGTAATGTGATGAAAAGGCCGCTAAGGAGAATACTACAATTTTCATAAAGTGAGTTTTGTAGATTCCTATCTATGGAGTAGGACACAACACTACCAGGCTTGATTCACAGGATCTGCTTTGCTGAAAGAATAGTTAGATCACGTGTGGAGATCATAATTTTGCACAGAACGAGTCATTGGTGCCACCTGTCTGGAATGCTTAACTGGTCAACTATGTTACGTGTATTGATCAGGAAGGTGAAGGGAAGATGGAGACACGTTGTTTTAAACTTACCCTCAGTCTAGCCAGTAGGTATTTCAGCTAAAATCTATGTTTTGTTTTACGTGATGTAGTGAATAATATTTAAAGCCAGAACGGGCCGAAACAGTAGGCCACAAAGGAAGAAACAGATGCAGCACAGAGGTAGAAACAGGAACCTTGCATGCTGTGCAGCCATAAATAAGTTAATCTCCTTGTGCTGTGTGGTTTTTTGTTTTTTTTTTTTTTTCCCTGCTGCTTTTAATCTGCTTTGTTTATTTAAACTACAAGCTCTTTCAGAAAATTGCTCATTACCATATATATTTATACAGTGCACATTCCACGGTCCTACTCTGGGATTTTTGGTGTGTCCATAAGAAGTAATTTTTATCCCCCCCTCGTGAGTTACCAGAAATGTGATAGGGAAATTGCTGCATGTATTGGACTTAGACACTGTGTAGGGCAAAGCTTGATTTGCCGACATGGTTGTATAATTAACTTGCCACAGGAGTTCACGTCAGCATAATATTTTTAATGGTGCAGTTGGCGAAAAGTATGCTTATAGCTCCATTTTAACTTCTAAGTATTTCGAACTGTCAAAGGTCTGCTGATCACGCAGTGAATGTCACCAAGTAAAAAAATGTATGGAGGTGTTCTCAAAAGGAAGTCGGTGGAAACTGGTCCATGTTTACCAGCCACTCTGGACAGAGTGTCCGATTTCATTTCTGCAGCTGTGAGTGAAGGCAGCAGGTTTTCACTTGGCTGTCTTTACAAAGTGAGACCTTGAAGCAAGGCCTTGCTCCCCTGGCGTTGCTGCTAGGGAACCTAGAGATTGTCCTGTGGGACTGTGCTCTTTAAATTTATTGCTTCCAATTATGTAGCACTTGTTTAAGATCATTCACTGATTAAGTTGTATTTGGTGGACTTGATAAAAGACTGGTTACGTTATAATGACAATATAAAAAATACAGTTAATCAAGGCTCTCTTCAGGGTAGGATTGGTGAGGTAATAAAGGGATAATTTTCAATAGTATATTGAATTAAACATGCTTTCAATTTGTACCCGTCTTAGTGTGTTTATGCAAGTGGCTTCACCTTTTCCAGAGTGTTCTTATAAGGCAAGATTTTTAACCTATTTGTAGTGTGTTCCTATGTACTTACACCTGGAAATGCCTGGTGTTTTCCTTGCAAATTCTTGCCTTCTCCATAATGAGCACATACCTAATGTGGGCAATGACACCAGAAACCACTGATAATTGAAATAGCTGTTTAAATGGTTATTGTTAACTTATGGATTGAAAGCATGTACACAGGGAATATTTGCTTTATGTTGGCAATAATGAAGTTATTGTGTGCAAGCTAAAATGGTTAAAATTGATACATGTATAATTTGCTATTGGTAATTCATTTCTAACTCGGGCTGATTTTTGGATACCAAGGCAGGGTTAGTGAAGGTTTAATGAGACTAGAAGATAAAGTAGTGGTTTTCAAATTTAAGTAAAAAGCTGTTTAAATGGCTAGAAATGTCACCTATTTTGCTGCTTTTTGCTAAACCAATTTAAACGCACTTATTTTTTGCTGAGGAATCAAATCAAGTATCACCTGGAGAAAAAGAAGCCAAGAGAAGAATTACATGTGTGAAGTGAAACAATACTGCCTGGCTTAACCAAAGACAGATCAAATACTTTGTGTGACTTTTTTTTCCCCCACTGCCCTGGATCTCTCTGGTTCTTAAATGAGGCTTTACAAAAAAGCCAGAGTTGAACTGTCAGCTGCTTCTGCTCCTGACCAGAGTTCTGGAGCTGCAATTTAAGTTTCTTTGCTGTAGTCACATGATTTTCTCTCTTGTCATTTTTTGTGTTTGGGTTTTTTAGAGCAGCTCATCTGAATTTCTTATTAAGCTTGTGTTGATGGTAGTTTATTAAAAAGGCATGATAGGAAAGGGTTTGGTGCTTCACAATGTATCTAATTCTTAGTCTACTATGGGAATTAAGGAGGGGGGGTGATGGGTTAGAATGAAAGCTTTAGCTTGCATTGAATGCTAGAAAATGTCATTACCTGTGCTAAATATCTGAATGCATTAAGAGAAATCTAAATATATGCAGCAGTGGGTGAATAAACAATCTGAGGTGTCCTAAACTATGCTTCATATGCTGTGTCCTGCACCTTTTTGAAGTAGACCCTGTTCATATTCTTAGAGTAATGTAGCTGTTCTATGGAAGTACAGTTATTCAAACAACGCACTTTCATAAGTGGTTTTAGTCATGAGTTGTGTCCAAGATCATTTGTAGAATTACAGGCACAGATATTTAGCTGGTGTGAACTGTCTTCTCACCACTGACTTAATGGAGTTCTGACAGCTGATCTGTGGCCTAGAGAGCACAGAGTTCTTCCAGATTTAACTGGTGAATGATAGACCGTATTTTGATGTACAGTTGATATTTACAGATTTACTGAAGGTGTTTTGATTCACCCAGCCAAGCTCCTCTCTCTTTGCATTACATCAAAAGATAGATTCAGTCAGGAGATCACGTCAGCTGTGCATAACACCAGTACAGCTAGCAGCATGCTACCCAGCTATTTCTAAGCCCCATTTAGTCAGGGCATATGGTGATGCATGATTGATGATCCAGGCATTTCGCTGATAATGGTAGTTCCCTGGTTTAGTTAAGAGCAGCTGAAAACTGGCTGGGTAGAGAAGAACATAAAACTTGAAGTGGTTGCTTTGGCTTCTATTGCATTTGGCATACTGTTGTGCCAGGCATCGTAAAGATCACAAAGATGCTTGGCACATTGTGAAGATTGCCCCATAAACTGCCTGCGGTTCCTGTTTCAGTGTGATCATTTCGTATGGTGGTGTTGTAAAATTGTGTGCAGAAAGCGGTAGAATATCTTCAAAATGCTTATTTGGGTTGTTGCTCTGTTACACTTGTAGGAAATCTAAAATTCAGCATGTACAAAGTATTGGGGCTTTCTAATAATAGGTTCCTTGCACCAGGAATGCTGGCCTGTAAGCAGACTGTCTTTATATATCTTTATACATCTTTATACTGAATGGAGTGCAGTATGTGACTTCATCTGCACTAAAACTCCTTACATTTCTTTTTTCCCCACAGAAAATTCTGAAAGATAGATTTGCGACTATAACTTCTATTGAACTTAGAAATGAATGTAGGTGTCCATATTCAAGTTGATGTTGTTTTCAGAAAAAAATATTCTGTTGTGAATATATGTTACTCATGGATACCTGTGATGTTCTGTTTTGCAGATGTTTTTGTAAATAAACTTATGTTTATGGAAAACTATTCTTGTTTCCTACCCATCATTCCTTACTCTTATACTGATTATATGACTGTTACACTAAGTTACTTATAAAGTACTGTGTTATCCAGGCTTATAACATAGCAATTTGACAATTTTTTAATGTAAACTGATATTATTAATTTAGAATCAAGAGTTATAAGTTCTGCAAATTGGTTTTCTTTTCCCTAGTTGGAGCCATCAGATGATTTCAGTTCGTGAGGCCAAAGCTATTCCAAGACCTGATGGTATTGAATGGAGAAACAAATATATTTGTGTAGAAGGTAAAATGTAAAGCTGCGTTATCATTTTTAACAGTTAAGACACTAAATACATAAATCTGTCGATTAGACTTTACCTTGGTTGTATTTTAATAATGCACAGGTGTAATATATTTATATAGAAAATGAAATTTAACCAATGCAAATAGTTTTGGAAACGGTCCTGCCAAAAACATTTGAGAAGGAAGCTTTATGTCCTATAGTGTTTAAAAATAGTTCTCTTGACCTTTTCTTCAAGAGCACTCGTTGCCCTGTTACTTTTGGAACAGCGATTAGGACTTTGACAAGGTGTGGCCTTTATGACAGTAGTGTGTGTTTCCTGCTCTGAAAATAGTCATCAGTTTTGCCAAGATTGAGCTTCTGAAAATTGTAGCAGGCACATATTCGGATTCCTCTCTAAGATTATTATTTGTTCTAGAAGTGCTCTGGCATCCTAACTCCTACCAGTGACTAGATTACGCGTATGTCAGTCCCCTTATGGCTACTGTTTTTCTCTGGCTTGTGAATGTACAGTTTCTGCAGAGACTGTATGATGCCCTCCAGAACCGGAAGGTAAACCCAGGCTACCTTTTGGAGTTGCGGGTCTCAGCCTTCTTAGTGCAGGCTAAACTGGTCAGTAGCACCACACAGGGAACCTGCTTCTTGTGCTCTTGATGCCTTTCAACTGCCGTAGGGAATTTACATGGAGCAGTTGATCTCCTGCGTAGGAGATGAACCTTGGACCAAGGAAAGACAAGATAATAGACCAAAAGAAGGATTGAGATGTTAGGAGAATGAAAAGAGAAGCAAGGAAGGGATTGAGAGGTGCTGTGTTACTGTGGGAACAGTTAACACAAAGAGGTAAGAAAGGGAAGTGAGAAACAATGCAGCAGATGAAGGGGAATTGGACAGATAATGGAACTGAGGTGGAGTGGGAGCAGAATTAGAAGTGGGTGGTTTAGGACACTGGGGTGAAGAGGAAAGGTTTGAAATGGGAAAGGTGGCCTGAGACCCGGCTGTACATAAATGGAGGCTATTAGGATGAGGATATCAAGGGCTGATGTGTTAGGGTAAAACAGGACTATAACCTGGACAGGGGCCAGATGGTACAGAAAGCGTTGTTAGACTGGGAAAATTTTGCTGGTGAAGGAGGGTGGTCAGAAGTCCTGTGGCTGGACAGACATTCCTCATGATTGCTGGGGTTGGGAGTGCACTCTGTGTGTGTGCTCATGTAATTTCCTGCGTGTTTGCTGCTCTCTGCAGAGAATAATTACCTGCTGGTGAAGTTAGTTATTCTGTGGCCCAGAGCTCACCAACTTCGCTGTAATCATACAGATGGCAGTGTGAAGCCATGTGACGGGATTCCTATTCTTTATTTTACTTTTGGGGGAAAAAATTAACTGCCAGTCATAGAGGAAGAAAATACACTGAAAGATGCCTGCACGCTTGGCTCTGCAGTCTCACCATTGAGAAATGTGAGAATTAGAGTATCTGCACAGCTGAAATGATCTGGGATAGCACGGTGCAGGCACTTCCAAGGCTCTGGTCTGAATGTGGGAGGTGGGAATGCTGGGCAGCTGTGTCTGCTGCTGTCACATGATGCTGATCCGCTGTGTGGCGAGGGGGCTGTGTGTTTCAAGCTATCGATTTTTTTTTTTTTTATGACATTACAAAGTTGTTGAATAATTAGGTTTTCTTTCTGTCAGGTTGGAAAATAGAATACCAGCGTACAAAATAGGCATTTTAGGATTTGTTTTAAATGGGCTTGATTACATACAACTTTTCCTTCAGTGTGCATCTTGCATTTGCACTGTTAAAAAAAGAAAATTATCTATAGGTGTCACATCTGACTGCTTCCTGGTACATGTTGCTTCAAGACGTTACTAAGAATGGGTTTTGGCCTCACATATCAAATTTTTACTTTGAAATTGGAAGGGAAAAATTGAATTTCCTGTTTCAACTCAAAAGTAGGCTTTATGTTTATAACAGCTGTTAAGCTGAACTAGTTTAACCAAGTATGTATATAAACTTCTGCATACTTTGAGAAGAAGCTTTTAAAAACTGGTTAAACATGTCAATGGAATCTGTTTTCCAAGTCTTTGTCAGATTTTCCAGTTAGTGGACTAAGATTTCAGTAATTGGTATTATTGCTTATATTTTTCAATATTTTAAATATATTTGTTGCTAGATTACATACTCTTTGTCTGCAAGTTGCCATAATTCTGCATGCAGCACTGTATTCAGGCTCACCGAAAGTAAGAATTGTGTTGTTTTAATTTTTATTGGCCTTAAGACTGATTTCTCACTTGTATTTCTGCTGTGAGAGAAACAAATAGCATAGCGATGCTCTTTTCAGACAGTTTAAAATCTGGCAGGCTGTTACCATAATGGGGATACAAGAGAGCACTTCTTTTAGCTGATGTTTGTGAACATTCCTTGTCAGAAGCTCTAAATTGCTAGTGACTACTGTGGATTCAGTTTAAATCTTGTCTGTACCAAATAATATTCTACAGTCACGTGCTGAAAAAGACACAGTTTGGAAAAGCTAGAAACATGGCAATTTTATGAGACAATTAAATTGATAGTCATTTAGTAAACTGTATCAAAAACTGTCTAAGCTGCACCTGATTCATGCTTATACTTGTTAATCTTTCAGATCCATGTTAAAAAGTAGTTCTAAAAATAATTCCTCAGGGCTTGGTTTGGATCGGTTCTGAAATCTTATGATTTCATGTATTTTCATTTGGAAAGATGATCCCCTGTAGCCTTTACCTCAGGCATCAGTGCTGAAGTTGTATTAGTCTTTCTTTTAATTTTCTCGTCTCTGTGTGTGAACAAAATAATTTATGATGTCTTGGTGGTTTTGATTGTCAGAAAACAGGCAGGAAGAATAAAGGGAAGATGTGACTCAGCTTTTGTGACGAGGGTACCTTTATTCCGCACTGATGGTTTCAGCCAATTGTACAGCTTTGCTCTTGCTGCTTTAAAAAATATGTATCTCTTAATTCAACATGAAGTATGTAAAGGTCCTAGCATTAAAGAAACAGTTAACATCATGTTTGAGACACAAAAGAAATGCTGTACTACTTCACATGGTAAGGGACATGGAATTCTTAGTGGCATCAGGTCACTGTGTCAAATTATGTGACTGACTTCAGAGGACTATGTACATTTTTATTCGAATGCCAATTTTTCGTTCCAATCTAAATGTATGATGCATTCTAAAGTGAAATAAATCTGCCTGTAAACATCCGCTGAAAACTTTGTAGGTAGTTTGATGAGAAACCTCTCAGAAACCTGCCAAACACAACATCTATTGTGTGAAATAATTTCTTTCTGAATTTAAATAGCTTGCAGAAATAAAAACCCAATGCCATGGAGCATGTGCCAAATCTGAAGTTCCAACCTCCATAATGGTGTAAGCCCTTCTGATACCTGTTTAATGCCGTATTTTACTTGATGTCCCTGTCTGAATAAAAGCAATTCATAACCAGCTAAACAAAAAAGCTGCCTGTTCTAGCAAATACTTTTGTGGTTCTGTGGCCCTTAAGAACTTTCATACATTCTGCCAGAAATATACCATGTTACTTTTGCATTTATTGTAATGCATAGTCTTTGCATCGTAATTTTTTAATGTCTGTTGCGTTAATGTTGGCAGCCCTGTTAGTAGCAAGGAGTACTTTTTTAATCCTTCAATTTAAATTCAATTTAAAAAAAACCCCAAAGTTCCAAAGTATTAATTATGTTAGCAAAAAAAAGAGAAAGCAACATGTAAATTTGTAGTCTGTTAGAAGGTGGAGGCCCCAAATTGTTAACTTATGAATAGATATTGTAGAATAGATATGAACTCATAAAACATATTTTTACAGCAGTTGATACATTTTATATGAAAAGTAATAGTAAATATTGTACTGTACTCCTTGTATTTTGCTGAGAAGCTGTTGAATGAGGTTTATTTAAAGTGAACAGTTCCAAGAGGCACACGTGTAATAAGTTTCAAAATATTTTAATACGCAAAAACATACTGTGATATGTCATCACAGACTATTAAGCACTAACAAATAATTATTGGTGCATAAATTCGGCACAATCATAGTATGCTTCAATAGATACCTGACTTTGTTGTGTATTCCATACTGTTAGTCTGTTCAGGGTTTGGGTCTCTTTTTGGATGAACGTTAAGTAGAAATAAAGATTAAGAAGCAAAGTAGAATTGGCTGCATAAAACACTCTTGGGAAGCAATGATATGTTGAGTCTTCCGGGTTTTGTCTCATTACATGGTCAGTGAAGAAGGCATCCTAGCTCTAGGGTTTTTTAAATCTTTGAATGTTTGTGTTTGGTCTTGCAGAGCCCTTTGATAGGACAAACACTGCTAGAGCTGTACATGAAAAACAGAAGTTTGATGTTATCAAAGCTGAATTTCTGAAGGTAAAAAGTACATCTTGTTTAATATTTCTGGTGACTTTGGTTTTCAAGATAGTTTTGCAAATGATAGTCATTGAACCTGCTTGTTTCTGATGTTTGTGTTATGATTATTTTAATGGTTTGAACTATGTAAATAATAGAAATGTATTCTTAAAAATTGGGGAAAATTGTGTAAGAATACTTTTAATGTCTACTGTTATGCATCAGGCTTAAGTTGAAATGGGTGCTTGAAATTGTAAACACATTATAATTATATAATGTGTTTACAATTATATAATTATAAGACACATTTTCTTGTGTCTATAAAGTTTTAATGATAGTAGCTTTACAACTGCATCTTTATCTTCATTAATTATTTCTTCCTACATTAATTTGGCTGGTAATAATGTTTTATACTTACTATCTCTTTTTTGTAAGTATCACCACCAATGGTTTTCTTCTGTTTTTTGACAACTGAATTAAATTGGTACTTTTCTTTAGGGAGACCACACTCATAATTTTAGAACATGAGTAGTTCAAACTGGAGCTATCCCTGTACTAGTCTGTGGAGAAGGCTAGGACACTTTGAAGCAAGGAAAGATTTAGGTCTTGGTTAAACATCTTTTTTCTAAAAATCCTTGCTACCAACTTTTTTTTTTTATGCTTGTTTCCTATCATAGGCATTGCATTTGGAATTGAAGCTCATATCCTAGTTTTCTGAAGTCTCTGACTATTTGTAATATGGTAATGGCTAGTGATTAGTGTGCAGAACTGGCTTCCAGCTTTAACCAGTTGGACTCCCCTGTTGTACTGTCGTTGGAGGCTCCTGTTTACTCCAGTTAATCAGGTCCTTAAATATCCTGAGGGCTTCTCCAGCAAAAAGGAGATCAATGCCAGATATTTGTAGTAAAACAAATGCTGTAAGGTGTTACCTTAGTCAGAAAAGGATAAGTGTTTTTACTTTGTAATTCTGTTCAGAAATGTCAGTTTCCTTCTGTTTAACTGTGTTAGTGTACAAAATACTGAACTGTTCATACTTTCACATAAAATACTTGATTTTGTGAATCTGCTAAAGCAGTGGTTTACAAAGTAGTTGGGGCTTTCTCACTGTAAGTCAGGGTGAACTTCCCTTTTCAGAGTTTTCAGTTAAAAAATTGTTTTCAAGCCTGTATGGTTTTCTGAAAAACGTAAACACAGTTGTTTGATCCTAGCTGTCTGGAAGCTTATATCTAGACTGTTATGGCCCTGAAAAAATTTCCTGTTTAATAGGAACTGTAAGGAATGGTAGTTGCTTAGAACTGCAAGTACTTATTAATAATCTTGGCACTTTTTTAAGAAGCCCAAGGAATCTGTCTCATTGTCCTTGAGAGATTATTCTTCTTGTGGTTTTCATTACACATGGTGGCTTAAACAAATTCTGCGTAAAGACAGGATGGTCACTGCAGTTGTTTGCAGGTTTGTGGCCTAAAGACGTGACAGATGTGTCCTGGAATTCACAGTGGAATACAGAAGAAAATTGAAATAACCCATTTTAAAGACACAAAGTTCTGGAAATGTTGGAGTATAATATCTTGTATCAGGAATTTTGATATGTGTGAATTTGAGACAATTATTTTGTAGTCAGTGTATCAATATAATGCTTAAATAATGTTAGCATCTCAGTCTCCACAAATCCACTTTCTTTTTGAAAGGCTGTACCTTATTCAGTAGTTGATTGTGTTTTGTGTACTTTTTGAATTTTTTTTTTCCTTCCCTTAAACTCACAAAAACAAACCCCTTCTCTTTTCAAGAAGGGGAAGATGATCAGCCTTGTATTTGTGGATCTGTGGGGCTTACTGCATACAATGGTATTGAAGTATTAATCACAAAGATACTAAGCCTTTTAAAACCTTGTACTGTTTTCCCCAGACTTGGCAGGTGTTACGAGACAGGAAGGACCTGAACTGTATATTACCTTTAAGGACAACCATGCAGAAAAGATAACCAACTTCTTTCACTTTTCTTATTGGACCCTGCTGAAATAAAGAACAGTATCAAAATACAGAGGCAGTTACCCATGGGTTTTTATGACATGTTTTTCTCTGTAAACTTTTGTTAAGGAAATGTTTGTAAGAAAGATTGCATATTTTATTATTGACATTTGTTAATACAGCTATTTGTTCAAATATGTGTTTTCTGGAAATGCTTGCGTTGTTGACTTCTAGAAGAAACTTCAACAGCGAACCACAAGCATAAATCTGTTTTAAAGAAAGGATGGGAATATACTGATTTTTTTTTTTGTTTTGATAATCTGTGTAATTGTTAATTCAAACATATTTAATGATGAAATAAAGATGTTCAGACCTAAACAATGTGCAAGTCCAACTATATCCTTAAGGCGTTGCGCACACTACCTGTTTCTTGATGAACAGACAGCCTGTGTTTTACATCTGCTTAATTGCAGTAAGCACTTTTGCTCAACTTGGCACTTTCCAGTTTTATTTCCCTTTTGCTTGGAACAACAAGCAACAGTTTATGAAATTTAAGCTATATTATGGTTGTGAGTGTTTTGGATGTCAAGAACTGTAATCTAAACTGGAATTTTCAAACAACAGTTCTACTACAAAGAAGCTGAAATAGAAAAGGACAAAGTAAATATCACAGAATGTTCAGGGTTGGAAGGGACCTCTGTGGGTCATCTAGTCCAACCGCCCTGCTGAAGCAGGGTCACCTGTGGCAGACTGTCCAGGCGGGTCTTGAATAGCTCCAGGGAAGGAGACTCCACAACCTCTCTGGGCAGCCTGTTCCAGTGCTCCATCACCCTCAGAGGGAAGAAGTTCTTCCTCATGTTCAGACGGAACTTCCTGTGGTTTCAGTTTGTGCCCATCGCCCCTTGTCCTGTCGCTGGGCACCACTGGAAAGAGTCTGGCCCTGTCCTCCTGACACCCACCCTTAAGATATTTGTAAGCATTTATGAGGTCCCCTCTCAGCCTTCTCTTCTTCAGGCTGAACAAGCCCAGCTCCCTCAGCCTCTCCTCGTAGGTGAGATGCTCCAGTCCCCTCATCATCCTCATAGCCCTATATAAGTGCTTCATACTCACAGAGAGTAGGGAAGGTACTTGTTAGTGCTTTTTTTTTACGTATTTGAAGTAGTAGTGATGTCTGCTTGGTGGGGGGAGGGGGCCAGGGAATAAGCACCCACCAAAACGCCCCACAACCCAACCACTGCTACAGTGAGCTGGGCTTCTGTTTTGATTTTGTGTAAATGTTTATAAATTGGTCAGCTACTGGAAACTTAATTTAAATAGGTAATCCTGAAAATTTTAGCTTTTCCAAAAAAGCTGTGAACCCTCTTTTAGACCTGCTGTAGCACAATTTGTGCCTCTCAGATATTTGTTATGGAAGACCCATTCATTGTAAAACTGTACTTACCATTGATGTCAAATTTGTATTTTCATTTTTTTAAGTTTAATATTTTGTATGTTTCCCAATGGCATAAAGTTTATATATGGAACATACAGCTTATTTTTCCAGTTCATGTTATTTTTTACTGCGTATTTAAAATATTTCTTCTAATTAAGTAGGAGACAACATGCCCTGTAAAGGTAAGGCCCCTGTGCATATCATAAACGTCTGTATGGCTATTCTGCACTGCGTTGGTGTGCAGGTAAAAGTTTCATCTGATACTGTCTCAAAGAAGATTGTGAAAACCCTTGTAGCTTTGTGAAATAAGTGTTATCTCTTCTTGTGGAAGCTTTTATGTTTAATTTATTTCAAGTTTTACAATTCAGAAGTTCTAGAAACTGAACTGTTTGCCTGCTGCGAGGTTACCTACTATGCACTTCGTCATGATCTAGTCTATGTAAGATTTTGGCTTGCTTCTTAAAACAGCTTCCTTCTGCAATTTAAAGAGTCTTTTAGTTTTCTTCCGACTCTAGCAATCCACCAAGATGTTCTCCCTCCATGCATATATTCCCTCTCAACTGCCCTTCCTCTTTATAAGATGGTAGGCTTAGTCTCCATGAAACGTTCACTTTGACCTGCTTTATGTAAAATGGAAGCACAAGTTTTTAGTACAGGATGGTATCTGGATTCAAAGATGCTCTGCAAGCCCTAGATGGATTTTGGGGATAGGGGAGGGCTGCTCTTTTTTTAAAAAGGTGCTGACTATTCTTTGTCTAGAAAATGTAAAACTTTCCTGGTGCAGAATAACTAACAGTAGACATAAATGTTCAAATCCAACAAAAATGTGTTTCAAGGGAGCTGGATATGAGGCACAGAACTTCATGCAAGTCTGTCTCTCAGGAGTTTGCACTGTATCAGCTAAGGTGTCAACATACCTCACACCTTAAATTACTGCTTAGTGTTTGAAACCACTTATTCCTAACTGTTATAAAGGAGACAGTTAAAATTGCAGTACTTCCATGCAACTTTGTAAAACTGACCGACCAACTCAGCGATCTTTTTAATACAAGCCAAGATCTCTAACCACAATGGACTGTGTCTTTCGAAAGAATCCTTCTGCTTTTTTTTTCCTCAAGTTCATGTGCTTCTGATAAGCTACGTTTATAATTGGAAATACAAGGTCTAGATGGTCGTTTTCCACAACTGTTTGGGGACAAGCCTGTTTGTCACATCGTCTTTAACAACGGAAAACTCCCCAGTCATTTACTGTCTTAGCTAAGCAAGGTGCAAGGTGGTGCAACCTGGCTTAGTTTATAGCAAAAGAAGCTAGTGGGTAATCTGGCAAGAGCATGGAAAGTGGCAGTGTTCTCAGATATTAAAAAATAATCTGAGAGGTTTGGAAAACAGATTTTACCAGATGTCATATTATATTATTCTCCTGTCAAGGCAAACAAGCAAAGCACCGCTTTCCGTGGAAGTGCCAGACAACTGGAAGGACGGTGAGTGAAAATACTGTTAGTTGTTAAATGATGGGCTGCAACTTTTGTCAGAAAACTTCAGCTAAAATACCACAAAACAAATGGTTTGGGAGAATGAATAGGAGCTGAAGTTTAACTAACTTTGAATTTAGTTCAGTATAGTCTGAAGTTGTCCAGAGGTTTAATGACCTGGATTTTCATTTACGCTGGGCAGGTACCCAGAGCGAGAAATCCACTAATGGCTATCATAAATCTTAGTGTGAAGATTTCGCTTCTCCTCAACTTGAAAATAAAAACCTTCACACACCTATCCCTTGGCATGCACCCCAGCAAGAACTTTTTCTGAGACACCTTTAGTAAAAGGTGTTTCCAATGGCTGACCAACGTTTCAGCATGTGTGCGAGTTGCTAACTTATCCGAGGCTTCTTACTGCCTTGAAACAAAGATGCTTTAGTTGAGCTCTGTTATGACTAGTTTTGACTACTTCTTTTGGCATTGGGTTTGCCTGTTCTTTCTCACCTTATATAATGTCAGAAACTACTAGTCTCTTGCCTTCGGTTTTAGGAACTCTTTTTAGTCTTCTAGCAGTGCTTTTGATTAACAGGCTCAGAGGTGCACGGGAGGACCAAATGTTAGCAAGAGCTTCCTGTTCAGTAACAGTAGTGCCAGACGTGGCATAGGCTGTATACTGTGAAACTTAATTAAAAGTTTCTCTTCTAGCTCTCTTGCTCTCGCTTCTGAAATGTGATTGTGCAAGTGTAGTCTCTGTACCTTAAGGTGTTCTGACAGTGTAAGAGGTTATTTTTTAAAAAATCCCTTACAAAGAATTCAATATATACCAATTTTAAGACTAAATTGAAGGGTGACGTTGTTATTTGGGAGAAGTGAGCAGCCAGGATAAAAGGATGTAAGGCAATTTGTAGATAATCTGAAGTTAGTGTTTGTGATTAGGGGCCCAAATTCTTATTGGAACCAGGGCTTTACGTGAACTTGGGTCACTGGATGCAGTTCACAGTACATTTGGTGTTAAATTTAAGTCCGTCAGAGATTTAGTGGACTCTGCTTGCTCTGGGTTACCTCGCATGTATTTTGCAGTGCTTGTTACAGTTGTCTTGTTTTCTCTGATCCTTGTGTGTTCTGATATAAATCTTTCCCTCATTGATTTTGCAGACTACATGCTTTTCCTAAAAGCATCATAAGAATATGCTGTTTTGGTCAACTTACAGGTCAAATTAAGTTGCGAGCAGTATAGAAGGGAGAGCACTAGGTCTGGAAATAATTTGAAGGGTTTCTGGTAAAAGGGTACTCACCTTCTGCTTGCTGTGCTGAAGATTGAATCAAAACTTGTGCAACACATGTATGCTTCGAATATAAGCATTTCTGGAAGATTGTAATGCTCTTGTCTTCCATGTGTAAGGAATATGAAATCCTCTACCGTAATGTCATTGTGCTGTGTACACTGGCTCTGTGCTCATCATAAAATCTGGCATTGAAGTTGATACCTATTTCAAGTATACTTCTTTGAGAAATTATGTTTTGACCTTGTAAATTGTGTACCTTAGTGGGCAGGTCAAGAGAGCAGACAGGTTTTGTCTGTACATACTCTTAGGGAAATATTTTACTTTAAGTGAATCTGTCAGTAGGACTTGAACTTAGCATTATGGAGACAGCTTGTACTCAGAAATACCTTCTTGTGTGTTTCTGTACTTGCAACACAAGGAAGAGTTTGCTGATTGATTTTTAACTAGCTATTTAGTTGAAGGACAAAAAATAAAAGAAAAAATGTGATTACACTTATACTGCGTATGCAATGTTTTACACCTGATAGAACTTGGAAGTTCTTTATTTAGAATCAGAGTTTCGGTGCTTCTCTCCCTCTTCCAAAAAATAATTTAAAAAAGAGCCCAGAGTCACTACTTTGGCTAGTACAGGTTGGAAATACTTCCATTGTGTCTGTGAAAGCACGGCATTTTGTGTGAAATGCAGAATAATGAAGGATAAATTTCACTTAACCTAAACCCTACACAGTAATGTAGTTTGTCTTTGCTTTAAATTGTAATTGGTTCAAGTCCAGTCAAAGAGGAAATTCGAAATGTCCTCTGATTTTACACATCAACAAATTTGGGGTTCAAATATATTCCCTGTGTATTGTTAAAAACTACGTTGCATCTGATACCTCTTACAGTACAGTCTTAATTATTAAAGCCATTTGTCCTAGGCTCACCCACCTGTAATTGTATTTGACCTCTCTAGCTCAGATATGAGGCATTCTAGGCTCAGGGGTGGAACTTGGTTTTGAACGTGCTAAATGTGCCTTTTCTGGGAGCCACAAGAGAACTCTCCCTCTGCTTCACCAGTGCTGTCCACCCCAGATTCACCGGCGGTGGCTCGGTCAGGTCTGCTGGGCCTCAGCCCCTTCCTCCCTGCCGCCATCGCCATCCCCATCTTTGCTCGGTGGTAGTGGGCAGGGCGAGCGGCTGGGGAGATGGCCGTTGGGCGTTGCCACATGTCCTAGCACCCGGTTGGTGCTAGGACCCAGGGTAGGACCAGCAGCGACTCGGCGCCGTGGCTTTGTTGCCTTCTATTTAAAGACTGCCCTGAGTCAGGAGAAGCGAGAGCTGCCGGGGATGACAGTTGCTTCAGGCAACCCTGGGGAGGACAGGGTCGGGGGGTAAAAATCACCGGCAACGGCCTGAGCTGGGAAGGACATGGAGGGGTACCATGGCGCCGAGTGCGACAGGGCATCCGAGACCTTGTCCTTTGTAGAGGATGAAGAAGAAGAGGAAGAAGAGGAGGAGGAGGAGGAGGAGGAAGAAGAAGAGGAG